TGATGAAGCCACCTGTAGATATATGTACAGTTTGTAGGAATATTGGCATTATTACATGTAGTGACAATGTTGAAAGATGTACAATATATATAAGAGCATTCCGTTAGTCCTTATTGCTGATGCATGTCTTTCATGACACAATGTCTCTCCTTCACCTTGACTACACTATCAAGGGCTATACAATACAGTAAATACGGTAGAGAAATTATCTGAATTTAAGGTTCCACATTCCTGTATATACTCAAATAAAATTTTACTTTAATGATAAATATTTTCAAAAGAAAGTCAATGTTAAGAGTATCAGCATACCTTCATTAACTTGGTGATGCAAAATTTGACAGAAGTTGTCTTTTTTTAAAGTTGACAACTTCTATGGGAAAAATAGTCATAAATCCAAGAAAGAGTTATCTTTCTTACATGTATCAGATAAGAGCAAATGTCCCTTTCTATAAGTGACAACTCTTTGATAAATATTTTTTCTTTCATCTATAATTGTACATTTAAGCATTTTCTAGCACGTTCAGAATGAATTGCCAAAATTTTTTACTTGATACAGAGGTACATTGTACCTGACTAGAGGTGTATTTTGACACTAAAGTGTGCTGAATTTGTTGAAATTTCATTTTTTTATCACCAACTTTTGCTGTACGTAAAAAAAAATGTCATAATTACAGAAATATTAGAGAAAAATCCCACTTTAATGAAGCAGAAGGTTGTTATTCTCTTAGTAAAAAACGTTCACTTAAATGATAAGAAGGTGATTCTCCTCTAAGTAAAAGTTTGTTTGATGTACCTTATGTCTCTGACTGTTTCCATGACATTAATTTCACACAGCAATCTCTTTGTCAGCCAATCCATGGCTGCAACATGACCTTTGCTCCCAGCTATTAATAGATATTTCCCATTCCTTGTGTACTGCAACTTGTATGGCCCAAATTGTGGAAGGTCCAGATTGAAATGCTGAAAAAAAAAAATAAAACAGCACATACATTAAAGGTGCTTGGACACAGATTTGAAGTTAATATTTTCTCAAATTTTCTGTATAATTTCATGACTTGTATGTTGCTATAGCATTTCATACTAAAATATAATACAAATCTTATTTCATCTCAAAGTTATTAAAACTTCGAAATTTCTGGACGCGTTGGATTGACATATCTTTGCTCTTTCACATATTTTAATTTTATTCTTAATACTTAAGAAAAGTGGCAATTTTGTTGTGTATTAATGAAAAATATTAAAAGTATAACCCAAAAAATTCAGAGTAGAAATGTTCGAAAGCAAAACCCACTCACAGTATTGTAAGTCCGTGCTCAGTGGTGTGTGCAGAGTTTAACAATTGAACTCACCCGGTGAATCGTAAACATTAACAATAACAGAGCTCGTGCCCTGTATACAAAAACAGTTTACGCTTCACAGGTGTGTTCAATTTGTTAAACTCTATACACATTACAGAGCACAGACTGACAATATTGGTGAGCTGGTTTTGCTTTCGAACATTTTTACTCTGAATTTTCTGGATTATAGATGTAATATTTTTCATTAATACGTAAACAAATCGCTTCTTTTCTTAAATATTAAGGATAAAGTTAAAATTTGTGTAAGTGCAAAGATGTGTTAATCAAATGCGTCCTGGAATTCGTAGTTCCAATAATTTCCAGATATGATAAGTTTTTAATTATATTTTCGTGTGAAATGCTATAGCAATATATAAGTCGTGATATTATACAGAAAATTTGAGAAAATATTAAGTTCAAATCTGTGTCTAAGCACCTTTAATGTAAACAAAAATGTTCACTTGATACTGACAAAGACTATCGCTATTAATTTACGCAAAGTAAATTCTCTGTTTATGTTTACCAAACTATAGGATGTTTGTATTAATAAAGTGCTTAGTTTTGTGCTGTACATGTCTTGAACATTGATACATATACACAACATACAAATAAACTGTCTCTATCTGATAAAAGTAAACTCAACATTTTAGATTGCAAAACAAATTCCCATCATGGAGAGCTTATAAGGCCAAAATAAAAAATAGGATTGTTTCCCCTAATGTGACCGACCCACTTAAATCGTGCCGAATGAAAAGTTTTTTTAATAAGATTATTCAAATATTTATTTTTTATTGTTTATCAACTTTATAAAATACAATTTCATCAAAATTCGTTTTTTATCAGAATGGCGGCTTTTGTTTTACTCTCATTTGGTGCCCACAACATGTTGCCACAGAGGGTTATTTAGTGTTATAAAACAATGGCGATGTATCAATCTTGATATACATCTTTAACTTATTAGAATCCTACACTCTTGAAACATTTCGTAAATTAAATATACCATGACAAAGGAGTGTTAACATGGCATTTACAAATGTGTCTTCTAAAATTAACGTACGTAGTAAGCATGATAAAGCCTGCCTCATGAGCAGATGAGAGGCCCACTTTGTGTATGCATATCAATAAATTTCACTGCATTTCATTCGTTTTCGATCTAAAAAAACACTTCAAGTATGATTCTATTTTTACTATATAGGACCATAGGATTTGTAAATATATCTTTGTATAATTATTTCATCTTGATAAATATTATTCGGATGTCGTTTCTTCATTCCTTTTATTTATCATGTTTATGGGGTAAACTTCATAACTATAACATTAGATATAACTTTAATCATTTTAGATATAGTTTGGTTGAATTAAATATTGTCTATACAGGTACTCTCTTTTCAAATAGTGTTAAAATCTTTAAAGTTGGCTTATGGTACGGCTTCCTGAGACGTCCAGTGTATTTTTCTTGTCTTTAGTTGGGCCATTGAAAATAGGTTGTTTCTTTGCTTTAAAATACCTTTAAAAATTGCTGGGTCGACAACATTTGAACACCTGCCTGGTGGAGGGCTCCGAATTTAGACTTTTTCTCGGCACGTATGGCCATTGATCATAAAGCATCAGTAAGGGATCTTTATCGTGCCAACATCTACATGTATACTGTGACACTGCATGGGCCTACATTTTTTTTTTTGTAAAAATTCAATTTCAATAAATTTACGCTGGCCTGAGATATATTTCACAAGTTCAAATGAATAATATTTGTGAATTAATTTACCATAGATGTTGCTCTTAAATTTCATTTGTATGATATTAGGTTTAAAATCGGTTTCTTTTGTTCTTTCTTATTTATAGATATATTATTCAATTTTCAGAATGTATTTTCAAAACTGCTGTCAGAAAAAAAAATAATTTACCTACCTACCTACTCAACTTGAAATTTTAGGGTCGGGTTAGGGGAAACAAAGATATTTTTAATGATGGCCTAATATCCAAAACAATATATATATCCACATACACACAAATAAAGACAACATAAAACTTGAAGATATACAGGTACATGTATTATGTAGTACTGTAGAAAATTTAAAGAGAGCAATAAATTGCATGTACAGCTTTGAGTAAATGACAAAGTAATTAATACTGACTTTCTGAGCTGTTGTTATGTCTACAGACTGGACAATGTCTGACTGACTGACATTGGTAGTGCTCTCTCCATCCTCTGGTATCAGAAAACTGACAGAAAAAAAATGAATTTAATATTTATTATTTCTGTTGTGAATGCAACTCTGAATTACAAAGCACAATCTCTACCAAAAATAATTTCCGTCAGAATGTAAAACTTACCCTGGTTCTTCCTGTAAGAGGCGTTCTGACCGAGCTGCCTGTTTTACTGCCATATTTAACTTTTTCTCATTTTGAACAAGTTTAACGTGTCCATGGAAGGTCCGCGTTCCTTTCTTAATGGATAAATTTTGGTAGCAATAAATACTTGAACATTTTAATTTAATTGCAGATAATACATTCATATACATGTACTATCAAACTTTGTTATCTCAAACTCAATATGACCAAGAAAATACTTTGAGTTATCCGAGAATTCAAGATATCTAGGGTAAATAATTAAGGAATAAGTGTTTGGGACTTTCAAATCACTTTGATATATCCATGGTTTTTGACATATCAGTGTTTGAGATTTTTGTTTGAAATTTAACTGTACATTGAAATCTTTGATGATTAAAAATATAATCATAAGAGCTATGTTGCAAGAAAGAGCAAATTTACTGTTTGCATCTGTTTTCCTCTCTGGTATTTTGACATTAACTTTCTAGATACTGGAGCATCTCCAGGGTATTCATCCTGTATATAAGAAAAGTTTGTATTTCTAATGTAATTAATTATAAATATAAATATAAAACAAGACAACTACTAAAATGTGAAATTTAAAAAAAATTCATACTAATATTCTTTGTTCTGAATAAATATGATGGGTACATGTACAATGGGTAATCTGAAACTTTTTACAAAGAAGTTTGTAACATACTTCTGTCTGTGTTGATTGTAATAAGCAAATGAAATTTTATAATAGATCATACTTTTCTAAACTCTTGAGGTCCTTTGGTTGATTTCTTATTCACCTTGCTCTCTTCCTTGGATGTCTTTTTGTCCCGCTTTGGAGCATGTTTAAGTCTTTTAACATCTTTATGAGGGCCACTTTTCTGTACTTTATTTTTCACTTTCTTTTTCACTTTATCTGATGGTTGTTTATTATCACTAATGTCTTTTAATTCTGTTTGTTGTTGTTCACAGGTCCCATCCTTTTTTTCTTTCCTCTTCTGTACTCGCTGCTTGTATTGGGTTTTCCTCTCCCAAAACTCTTTATAAAGCTTTTCACGAAATGGTCTTACTGACTTCTTGGACTTTTTTGTTTGTTTAGGGTTTTCTTTGCCTAAGATCTTGGATATTTCACTATCATTCCCTTCTTTGACAACAAAATCTGATTTTGTATCCTCCATTTTTTAAGCAATTCTTAAGAGAAGAAGAAAAAATGTTAATTACTTTTATTGCTGTGTGGATGTCATGTAATATATATAAAGGCTACTAATCTTTACTGCAAAGGAAAGAAAACATGATCAGAATAATATTGCAGCACTTACTTCCTTTGTAAGAAAAGGTATTCAAGGTTCTTAATACATTAACATTTGAACAAATATTATTCATAAGGCTTACAATAAACTAAATTAATTGGCAAATTATTTCCCAAGCTTGGTTTTTGTTATCTACTTTTAAGGACAGATAATACAAACTAAAAACTGGATGCATGCATTGTTATATAATATTCTAGGACCTATTTTGGTTGTATTTGATGCAGATGTTGAATGTCCAAACATCTAATTAAAAATAATGTCAAATGTCTAATTGAATATTGAGAAATTAAAAACAATCTACAATGTTCAAAGTTCTACTTTTTGCTGTAACCCTTATAAATCTTTACAATTTTTTATCACTTTATGGGAATTTATTGCAAAACTTTGAAAGAAAAATCAAAATCCATACAGTTCACATTCATTTTACTTGAATAAATATGGCTTCAGATGTTTTTTTCATGATTTTTTAAGAAAGCTTTTTCTAGCATCTACCCTTAATTTACCTTCAAAACTGAAGAAATTAGAATCCCATTGTATTGCAGTATTGTAATACATGGAATCATTTTCAGTTACAACATGCATTTCTTATCTTTTAAGTCAAAACATCCTCACGGCGCCAGGGGTCCTGAGTCCATGTGTATATTCACTATGACACAAGCTGACTCAGGACCCATGATGTTTCGAGGATGATGTCAGAGTCAATTATCAGATGACAGATTGTCAGTCAATGCATTGACAAAATATGGATATATGCAAGTTTTGGAAAATACCACAATACAATGGGACCTGCTTTACAATGTGAAATGAGTATACGATCTGATCTCTGTTCTTTTTTTCAATATTTGTATTTGTTAAAATTTTGTACAACCATGAAACATATTTTAAAAAGTGTGACCGATTTTCATTCTATAAATTTACAATTCCAGTATGTTTCCAACATCTACCTGGAGAAAACTGATATATTTGCAGGGTTGTCCCTAAGACCCAGGGGTCGGGGAATTTCCTCACCTACATGTATAATGACATAATCCCTCAGTTATATCTGATATTCCCCCTAAACTCCCTGTTAGTGGAGGAACCCAAATGTCCCTTCTACTTCTTTAATGTACCCTGCTATTTCAATTCTTAGTGACAGCCCTGTACTTGACTTAAACAGTGTTATATTGCCGAAAGTATTCATAATGTTATATTTGTATCAATGATGGACCATCCATTATTTAAATTACATATATATAAATTTCCATGTTACTTACGTCTCTGATGTCTATCATGACATGAATATTAAATTGTTTTCCCCTTTGCTAGCATTACTTTACTATAAATAGATGTATTTATCAGATGTCCATGTATGATTAAGCAATCTGTGCGAGATGAGTAAATTCGGTCAATGTTACAAGTGTAGTCTGAGCATATATGTGTACGTTTAACATACAATTCAAGCTGTATTTCATTCAGTTTCAAAAAAATATACGTTCATTTACATATTTTCACAAAAGCTTACATAAAGGATACATGTTTTGTTTACAGATTCTCTATTTTACCTATTTACACGTGCAGAATGAAAACCAAATCAAAACACAACATACGTTGACAAGTCGTACAATGAATCTAAAATTGAAAGTTAAGTCGTTCCTTTATACACAATTCATGTCCATGATCCCTCGATAGGGTAACTACCAGTAGCGTAGCCAGCAAAAAGAAAAAAAAAATACTGTGTTAAAAAGAGGCAAGGGGTCTGGGGTCCATGAAGCTCATGGAATGTAACAGTTTTAAATCTGAAAATTACCAGTAGTTCAACTAAATATTAACAAAAAAATTGCCCAGTTTTGACAATATTTACAGCTCCACACAATCCTTCTCTTCAAAAGCATTTCTGGTTATTATTATGAATAAAGACATTTCTTAAATAAATCTATATATTTACATTCATTGCAATATTATTTTGAATTTTTGATTAAGAAAAAGACATCTATTATGGACTAAAGGAAACCCAAAGGAAAAGCTATAAACAGAAAATTCAATGTTTTGGTAGGTGTTATTTAATTTATTTCACAAGTAATTTACATTTTTTTTTATTGTCAATTATGCAAAAATAAATTCTATATATATCCAACTACAAAAAATTGAATAACTGTTACATTTTACTTATCAATACTGAGTTTTGAAATTATAGTACTAGTACTGGTACAATGCAGTAAAATTCGGTTTTTGAATTATTAGGTAAATAGTATATTTAATGATTTGCTATTGCTCTGAATTGACAATATTATGAAATTCGTCCTTGAAATACTAAACCATTGCATGAAAGGAGAAGTATACTACAACAATTAAAGGTCTTCTATAAAAGCTGAAAATATTTTATTTTATATGTGGGGATAAAATGAATCTAGATTTTTTAAAATTATAAAACATATTTTATTTTGATCTATTATTGAACTTTTGACATCTTAAAAAAAATTATTATTTTTGTTGAAAAATCTGTGTATTCCTTTGCGTTGTTGCATAAAGGGCGCTACGCCACTGACTGCTGTCGAGTCGTACTTCATCTATCAGTAATAATTATAACATACAAGTATAAACAGGTTTGATGAAGGCGATGGAACCATTTGAGGTCAAGGGCGTAACTACGGAGGGGGTGGTTGATGTGGAGGAAAATATAAAGGCAGGGGGTTTGGGGGCTGGTGCCGTAATTTTTAGCATTTTACAGCGAATTTAGGTATTCAGAAAAGATTTGGGTTTTTTTAAAAAGTGAATTGGTCCGATTTTCAACATTTAAAAATTGAATGTTGATATCATCATGAAATTTTACAATTTCTACTGGCGGCGTGAAGTTAAGGCGAGGCCCCCAGAAGCTCAATTGTTCCGCATTTCTGACAGCTAAATTTCAGTGTTCGGAAAAGGAGATTTAATGAATTAGTCTGGATTTCAATGTTTAAAATGCTGATTTTATAATTTCTACTTGTGGTGGTTTGGGAGCGAAGCTGGAGAATTTTAACTTTTCTGGCAGCTAAGAGAAGCAGATAAAGTCCAGAAAAATAGATTTACAGTAAATTAAATTAAATTTCATCGTTGAAAATACAGATTATATCATAAAACTTCTGATAAAGTATATAGTAAAAGGGTCTTTTATTATGATGTCATAGATTTCCATCCAACGATTTGTATGCCCTATGTACCATTGTTACAATGCAAAGTAGGAGAAAAACATAATTGGAATCTCATCTATATCATGCCACTGTTTAATGTACACTTTTGATTATCTTCAACATGTTCATCGTACTATTGTCAATAGTGTACTGATATTCAAGTTGAGAATGAGATGTACAATGTAGATCACAACCGTTTATAATTATATTAGGTATATTAATATAAACAAGATCTAGATGTGTTTGTGAAACACTGATGCCCCCGTATGGCAACTTATAGCAAAGGTTAAACTTTCCCAAATGCAAATCAAATAGTTGGTACCCAAAGTAAGGTCTTGTGTCGAGGAATATACCTGTGAAATATGAGAGCCCTAGCAGCAACCATTGAATAGATATGGAAAAGGTTAAAGTTTTTTCAAAAGTAAGTCAAACATCCAAATCAAGATCAAATGATCAAAATTAATGGTGCATAAGAAAAGGCCTTCTCACAAGAAATATACTGGTGAAATATGAAAGCTGAAGCACCAATCGTTCAAAAGTTATGACCAAGGTTTAAGTTTTTCAAAAGAAGGCCAAACTCCTAGGTCAAGGTCAATGGATTACAATATTGTTGGTATCAAAAGGAAGGTCTTGTCACAAAGATTATATAAGTGAAGTATGAAAGCCCTAGCACCAACGGTTCAATAGATATGGCCAAGTTTAAAGTTTTCCAAAAGTAGGTCAAACTCCAAGGTCAAAGGGTCAAAGTTGTTGGATCCAAAGGAAGTTCTTGTCACAAGGATTACATATGTGCAGTTTGAAAGCCTTAGCACCAACCGTTCAAAAGTTATGGCCAATGTTAAAGTTTTTCAAAAGTAGGTCAAACTCCAAGGTCAAGGTCAAAGTGGTTGGTATCCAAAGAAAGGTCTTGTCACAAAGATTACACATGTGAAGTATGAAAGCCCTAGCAACAACTGTTCAAAAGTTATGGCCAAGGTTAAAGTTGGGTAAAATTTTGCAAAACTGGGTCAAACTCCTCCAAGGTCAAATATGGTGGTATTTAAAGAAAGGTCTTGTCTTAAGGAATACACATGTGAAATATGAAAGCCATAGCTCCAACCAATCAAAAGTTATAGGCAATGTTTAAGTTTTTGCGGACAAACAGACAGACATACGGACGGGGCAAAATCTTCGATACGGGGGCATTAAAAAATAAAAGAGAACACATATATTAGTTTTTTTAGTCTATACAAAGAAAAAGAATAAGTACATGTACTTTTCTTTCTTAGTTAATTTATCTATTTTTTAATTTAATCTAAAATCACTCGTAGATGACATAATTAGAAAAGATATTTTAAGAAATTGTATTTTACAAAAATAAAACTTTATTGTATGAATCGGGATTTTTCTCATATTCAAAACTGACGATTTTTTTCCTTTAAGATATGAATATTTTAAGTTAATAGTTTAAATAATGGAAAAGATACCGTCAATAATTAAAATAAATTGTAAGTGTCTTTTTAAAGAAATATATTAGTCTTCCTCCTCTAATATTTCTGTTAATCATGCAGGCCAAAATGACATGTTTATATCGATTTAGTTACATATGATCGTTTGTTTCAATCCGCGTTTTCCAAGTGATAAATGGTAGTTGACAATCATTGATATATATAGATAGATAGATAGATAGATAGATAGATAGATATGCCATCCCCTCCATTAGGAAAAAATTCTTAATCCGCCCTTGCTATAGCTAGTATCTGTACTTAAAAAACTTCCCCACTTTGGACTCCAAAGAAACATTTACCCATTCATATATCCAACTTTGTTGTAATACAATGGGATCTAGTCCATTCAGATATCCAACAGTGACACAATACAACAGCCTAATCGAACACCCCTTTTATTCATGGACTAGTGAGCGTGAAACCGCATGGTACTAATGTCATTTCAAACCTTTCCATTGTTCTGAACAGTCATGGAATCAGATGAAGAATAGTTTTAAATCCAATGTAAATTTAGAGAGGTTCAGATAGTGTTTTGAATACTTTTGTCCTGAAAGCAGAAGAAAACTACAAAATTTTGATAAAAGGTGGGAAATCTATCATTACATGTAAGATGATGATTTGTTGGGGAAAAGTGTTGGAATCTTACGGAGCTCCATTCGGACAATACTTCTAGTAGTGCTATAACAGATGAAAAGATTGTCGGTTTTATGCGGAACCTTCTTTAAAAATATTCCATATCAAGATTTGCAATAAAAAGGGTGACAAAAATAGATTGGGTGTCAATTTATTAAATTGTTTTGGGAAGTGCGCTGGAAAAGTATGAGAACAGAGACGAACCTCGAAAAATCTGAGAGGATTTGCTAATAACGCATGTGCATCCCTGAAATAACATTCAGCAACAGGAAGTGATGTGGATTAAGGTTCAAGGTGAAAATGTATTCATAAGCATGTCAAAAAGTGATGTTTTCAAAATTAAGACCGGAAACATTCTGTTAAAATACCATCGGATAAGTATTAGATATTTTATTGACGACAAGTGATAATAGTGTGCAAAATTCGGAGGAATTTTAATTTTTGTGAGCATTGAAAGTACATTTTTAACACAATTCTAATGGTGTGAAAAAAGTGATTAAAATTCCGTGTGCATTGGACATAAGTTCTAATAGTGTGACAAATTCGGAGTAATTGTTTTTTATGTGCATTGGAAATACATTTTCAACTCTTTTATCACTTTTGTTCATTGCTTAATTATGTTTGTATTCACAGTTGGATATTTAAATATCCAACCGATAGGCAGTTGGATATTTGAATATCCAACTGATGGCCAGTTGGATCTTTAAATATCCAACTAGTGATGGTTGAATCGGTAAAATATAAGTAGACCAATAACAATGGGTGACGTCCTTGAAGTTTTTTAAGTAAGATAAATAACTCGATAGTGTTGAATAGTTTAGAGAAAACATCCCCTCCTCGGGCCTTCGGCCCTCGGAGGGAATATTTTCTCTAAACTATTCAACACCATCTCGTTATTTATCCATTACATAAAAGTCGCCACGTCAATTTAAATTTTAAAATCCTGACTGAGCTGTCGATAAGCAGAACATTTCCGGGGATTTAATACTGTGCAAACCGAAAGTAAAAAAATAAAATAAAATGGGGACAATCAAGCAAGCACTAGACAAATTTAATCAACATGGTATACACACAGAGGACAACTTGAAACGATTAACAAATCTTATAACACAAATACTGGTAAGTAGACAGATTTTGATATAATGATTGTAAAGGAACATTGTATAACCAGGAAGTAAAGAAGTTTTTACAAAATAATGACGAAATTTCATTTTTGTTTACTAAAGTAAACGATCGTCACTAAATTGGCTATCTTTTAAAAGGATATAAAAAGGTACTGGTACACACATGTATGTAATTAGTTACACGTACGGGACAAAATCATTGACGATTTCACCCAGATCACTGTGCTACATGTAGATGCTAGTCAGTTTCGATTTTTTTAAAGTGAAAAAAGGACGGTTCACCTGTAGAGTGTACAAAAAGATACATGTTTGTAACACTTGCTCATTTTTAAAATTTAAATGAAAATTCTGACATTAGTTAAAAATTAAAATAACCAGAAACAAAATGATACTCAATGCCATTTTATACTGAAAAATGATCATATTATTTTTCTAAATATTATTTGACCGAATTCGATGACATTGTGCAAGTATGATGTCCTTTCAGTTAAGCCATTTCACAAATATTAAATTATTCTCTGTAAGCTATATAATAGTATATAATACTCACCAGTCGGATTTTAAGAGATTTAGATTTAACTCCCTTTTAATTTTGAGTTTTTTGATCAATTTATGTAAGTAGTGATAACAATTATCCAAATATGCTAGAAATAATCTTTTAGCCGCCTGTTTATATTTGACGAATTGGTTACTTTTGACACAAGTTTGTTATAATTTGATGATATAAATTTATCTTTACAAACTTATAACAAAATTTTTACTGAAACTTCAGATTTTAAATTGTTATGAAATTGAACAGAATTTTGACTTGTATCACTTGTTAAATTTACATTTCTATGTATTATTTTGCATGACATAATATATAAGGAGAAGAACCAGTAAGTTGTAAGAACTTGTTTCCAATTCTTTTGATTCATTCAATTTAAAAATTTCAATAAATAAATAAATAATAAATAAAGTCAAACAAATTCAAATCAGTGCATTGCAACAATAATGATTTTTAAAATCGGTTACAATTATTAATTAATTCATTATAAGGAACAAGAACAAAGAGAAGTTCAATTGAAAAAAGAACGGGAAGATTCACACGTGAAGAAGGTGCAAGAAAGGTTTGAAAAGTTTATCATTCAGTCACATCAATTTTTTTAAATACACCTTAGTAAGTCCAGCAAATACCTGCTGGTTTTAAAATACAATTTAATTAATACCGTTTGGACTCTAAAAATAAATCTTTTAAAAAGTAACTTCATGCACAATATGGCCTTTTTCAACTTCATTGATAATCATATTTCATTAATTTCGTCAAAATTATTTATGTAGAAAGTTTGTAATAAAATCAGTATACTTTATTTGGTATTTAATGGTTTTTCTTCTCACTTTTTGCTGATTTTTTTTTTTCATTGCATGAATATGATTATGGGTTTTATGCTATTTTTACTAATTTTCATAGTGATATTCAAATTTATATGTAAATAAATTTATTTATATATAGTACCGTACAATTGTTACCGATAATCTATACGGCATTTTTCTAAAACACTTCTCTTTCAACACGACGGTAGATTGAAGAGTCTACAAAATAATACAAACAACAGTGGACCAGCTAACGTTGTTTCAACGGATGGCAGCACCGGAGATAAACTATGGAAAGAGTTTGACTTCAGAAGGACCGCTGCAGTTGGAGAATTACATCCTAAATCTGAAAAAGCTGAAACCTCAGGCACCGAATCAATCTCCTCGGAAGAGTCCATCTACCTCAGAAATATCGCTGACGTAATTTAATTAAGAACCCGATTTTCTGCCTCTTGATTAGATGAATATGGTCAATAGATGAAACTAAATATTTTTAATTCTAATCCATTTGAAGAAACTAGACGTTTAAAATTTTCAGCGTAAAATAAAATAGCTATAGATGGAATTCTATTTCATATGAGAGTCATAAACAAAATTCTTAAAAAGAAATGACTTTGAAAAACAGGCTTCAAAAATCTATTATCGAAGTAAAAAATGTCAGTAACATATATATGTATATTTTGTTTTCAAGTTGGCACTAAACTTTTGTTGCAAAGAATATGTACAGCAACAGGAAGAACTGGGTAGAGCACTGAGCTATTGTCCCATGGTAAAAGATATAGTATTATAATATTATATCAATTTTACGTTTAGAGTATTTTTTTCTTTGTTGAAATCCATTGGAAATCTAAAATGTTTAACCGCCTACATGTTGCTATGAAGACACCCTTAACCTCATCACGGTACAAAAATACACAGTAGGGAAACTTTTTAAGTACAAGGAATCCTATAAAATGTATTATTTTTGCACAGTTAAATTGAAAATAATTACCCTATTAAATTCATGTAAAACTATAACAATTTTAAGATGTATTAGACATTTTCCTTCTTCGCAACTTTAATTCATTTGCGTTATTTAACTTGTCTGTCAAAACTGCTCTTCCTTCTATTACCCCAACCAGTTCTGAATAATGAAATGCAATGAAATCTAACATTTATAAAGAGAGAAACTTAAAGCATAGTATATATATATATATATATATATATATATATATATATATATATATATATATATATATATATATATATATATATATATATATATATATATATATATATAGGAGAACAGTATATTAAAAGACCAGACTGAAGCAGCAAAAGTCTTTCAGGAGGAACTGGAGTCTGATGTCACACAGTATCTATTTCAGGTAAAAAGAGTTTCTCAAACAACTGAATGTAAATTAAAGTATTTATTGATTTGAACATTTTTACATAACAATCATTTTGGATGTCTGATTTATTTCTTATTTATGTGTCAAATTTCGTTTTTCAGTTGCATTCACAGATTGTGAATAATATTTTGTATCCACACGCGTTTACATTATTTTATCATTTTTTTCAAAAAAAAAAATCCTAAATATTTAGAAACTTTAAAAAAATACTTTTTTTAACAAAAAAAAAAACACTTTCACAAGAAACAAAGTCTACATGTAAATGGCATCAAATTAAACGATATGCCTGGGTGATTGTATCTTTATAATTGTGAAAATCCACAATATATGATTTATATGATGTATATTCTACTTAAATGTATAACACATTTGACCGATAGTATAAACACATATATGCACTATGAATTCCTAAATCTATACAATACTTTCTTTCACAGAAATTTCCCCTTGATTTGTTAAAAGACAGAGAAGGAAAATTTGTGATAAAAGATAATAAGAAAATAGAACAGTATTTAAAAGCTTGTGTTGATGTGTGCTGGTATATACAAGTTCATCGTAAAGGAGCTAAATTCGAATGGGATATCCCAAAAAACGCAACTAAAGAGTCATTTATCTGTGTTACAACTAACTGTAAAAAAAGCAACTCGTGTGAACAGAGAGTGTGCAGACCCGCCCTTTACCTGAACGGTCAGGTACTGAATCCAGGGAAATATTCCTGCGTATCTTGTGCTCCCGGTAGTAATGATCCTTGTAAAAAGGAGAGTACGGGGGAAATGAAAGGAGGCACACAAAGACCATCCTCTGCCAGAAGTGTTCTTATTCATTTACCTGATGGAAATATGAAAGAAGCCAAAACAGAAAGCAAAGGCGAGAGCCACGATAAGAAGAAAGGATCTCCGAGGAATGAGAAATCAACTCCAGAACCGAAGAAAGGTCAAGGTCAGAAAAACAAGGGCGAAGACAAGAAAAGGAAAAATGAAAACAATGGTTTGAATTTCTGACATTATTATACAATTCAATTTGAAGAGCTTAGTTTTAGTCTTTATGTATTCTTTGTTATTTAAGGAGAAATTCATTTTGTACAAAATGTTGAGTTATTTTAAAATAATGATTTCAATATTTCGAAATTGATAATAATTGTTATACTGACTGAGCGGGTGCGGGACTTTATCAATCGAAGTAAACATGTTGAATGTTATGAAAAATGAAAAATTATAGTGGTTGCATTGCTGATTAAGATTTAAATCTCAAATATATAATACATGTAGATAAGAATGTCTATGTATTTATTTTAATAAAGTGAAATTGTAGAATATATAACTGCTGAGACGCAATAATTTATAAAGAAAGTATATTCTTTCAACTCTCTTTTTTATCATAATATTCCGGATCAGCTTTATTTTTTCAGCAGTTGAAATAAAGACTTGAAATTGATATCATGAGATAAGAACATTGCTACTTATACTGACAGTTGGATATAAGTAAACAGTAGCGAGTATATCGAAAAACAAGATAGATTTTACCAAAACATTTGAGGAAAGTCGATCAGCCTTCCTAGGAACATTTTGATTTTATGTATTAATTGAATAATGCGTATTGTATGATACTCTATCAACCACTGATTCCCTTGACATATATTTCATTTTGTCAAGTGCCTTTAACCGGTGACAATAAAAACAATTAAATAATTATATGAATAGATTTATTCACGGTTCTTTATGTAAATGACATTTTCATTCACAAATTCTATTCAAGATAACTTAGTTCATAAAATCAAAGCATACATATATTAAATGAAGCTACATGCACTTATTTCCGAATTCGTTTTCTTGCAGAGGTAATATACCAGGGATAACATCGCTCATGGACAACGATGTTTCCTCTTTTTCATGATTTAGCTGTATGTTTTGTTCAAATTTCTGAATTTGAATCTCCGGTGTTGAGGAAACATTTTCAGATGCCGTGGATGGATTGTGGTTTTCTCCTTCATTTTGCCGATTATCGCGTGAAGGCGCCTGCCCAACCCTCGATTGATTTTTTGTGTATAATTTTCTGCATAAACAATACAATCAGAATTCTTACCTGTATTTCGTCGTTTGAAATAGTATTGAGACCTCAAGCATGCATGCTTTTTGCCGTGAAAATAGTCTGTTTCATACATGTATATTTAATCAAGTTAAAATGAACGCATTTACTGTACTTCAATAAAGTTATAATATATATGTATATAATTTAAATCTGATAATTATATAGAAATATTAAAAAAAAAAAGGTTCTGTAAAGATATATAATCGTTAAATATGAAAATATTGTATAGCATTTCAGTTCTCGATTTGCCACGTCGAGGGTAGGGATCAGAAACTTTTTCTCTTTAACAAATCAAATTGAACCTTTTTTGTAAAAGAAAAAAAAGTTAAACAAATAAATAAATCCTTAAAATTAAACAAGTACGACCATGTACGTGTGCGACATATCTTACTTAAAGAAGGCAATGACTTACGGACGAATTAACCTAATGCAAAACGCTATAACGATGAGGATAAAAATGAGGACTGCCAAAGCAACTCCAACAACAATCTCTAGATTTTTGCTGTCAGAATCAACATCTGAAAAAAAAATGTAATCGTCAAAAGAATTCACTTAACCCCCAAAATAAAGTTATATTTTGCATTATGACTTTATATATATATATATATATATATATATATATATATATATATATATATATATATATATATATATATATATATATATATATATATATATATATATATATATATTTCCATTTCTATTTGTTTTCTCTGTGATAACTCTTCGAAAGTTAGTTAATTTCCTGATCATTCTACCGGAATGCAACTTTCGCCAAGCGAAAGGTCAGGAGCTAAGAAGGCCTAATATGCATGTAATTCTCGTGCGGCTGTCTTTGTGTCTGACTCTAAGGAGGCCTAATATGCATGTAATTTCTCGTGCAGCTGTCTTTGTGTTTGACGTCAGTGGTCGGGGACTATTGAAATTGACATGTGAGGCCTCGTGTAATTTAAATCTATTAGTGTACATTTTTAAAATCTAAATATTTACAATTTTATTTCACAATGAAATGGAAATATCAGGAATCACTGTCTAGTTAGTAGATTGATTGTATTTTGTTTAACGTCCCTCTCGAGAATTTTTCACTTATATGGAGACGCCACCACTTGCCGGTGGAAAGCTGCAAATTTTTTCCTATACTCGGCACTTACGGCCATTGAGCAGTGAGGGATCTTTTTCATGCCAGCACCCACTGCGACACGGGACCTCGGCTTATACGGTCTCATCCGAAGGACCGGTCTCCACGTCCAACAGTGGGATTCGAACCCGCGACGTAAGGATCAACTCCTTACTTCGCGACTCTAGAGCAGACGCTCTAACCACTGCGCCACGCGGGCGACTCTAGTTAGTAGAGTATGTCAGGGACATCAAGGATAGTTGTTGGAAACGTGGAATAATTTATGCATAACTAACTAAACAGTGATTCCTTATATATATATATATATATATATATATATATATATATATATATATATATATATATATATATATATATATATATATATATATCACTGTATTTAGACGTACGCACTAATTATTGAAATGTCAATATATAGAATATAACGCCATTTGATCATTTCTAAGCACTAACTTCAATTAGGTACTTTCATTGTAATGAAGCTTCACAATGCACATTTTCTTAAATCTGTGTCGGTGCTTATACATGTAGATACCTTCTAAAAAAATTATTAATTCCGCTATGTTACATATATTTAAGATAACACTCAATTAATGCGTCACAATGAAAACTTACCCTTTAGAATGTTTTTGGATGACTCGTTTGATTTTGTTGTCTATGATAGAAAATCTGCTTAAAAAGTAATTACATGTATCTCAGAAGAAAAATACGACATTGAATGATTTTTTCAATGTATTTTACATGTACATGTACTTAATTTTCTTAAGGGCGTAAGATTTTCTAATGGATGCGTAAGTTTTAGAATTAAGATGAACTTTTTCCAAAATCAATTATTTATTAATTATTAAGATAAATTATGATAAAATCAGTCTGATAATTAAGATTTTCACAATTTATTAATTAATACATTTTTTTTTAAATTTCATGGTTACCAGAAGTATAAGCATCTGTTGTTTGCACCGTTGTTGCAGATGTTGAGTTTACAAGCTCTGTACCTATTAAGAATTTTAAAAATTGATTTCCTCGTTTCTGTTTAATTTGTCAATAGTGTAAATAATTTCATACTAATCAAAAGTAAAAAGCTTGTAGATTCAAAGTGTTTTGTACTATTAAATTGCATTTTTACCAAAACAGTAAGAAATAGGACATCCAGATGGTTGTCTGAGAAAGTAAACGTAGAACGTCCAACAATTTCGAACTTTTATGGTAAGTGAAGTCTCACAACATCCAGAAAAACCACTTTGACAAACCGTCCGATCCACTTCACCATCAGAAACAAGAGGCAGCGTCCCTGAGTGAAATGAAATTGTACTTTTATTGCAACTATAACAGTGATCTTAAACATCTATGTGATTCAAATTTGAATTAGATTCTATTAATTTAACTCTATGGAAAAAAAGAACTTGGTTTAAAGTAAAAAAGGATAATAACCAAACCACAAAGGAATGAAAATATCACTTTCATCCTCACATGAATGAACCTACCATTCATCCATAATGGATACACTGTGCCACAGTGAGTCACAGGCTGACATGTCCGTACGATGTCCCACAGGACTGTCTATTTTGTACCATTTCTCAGTCAGGAAATTAATTGTCGCAGATAGCAGTAGTGTCAATTGTTAGAACGTAGGCAGAAGACCTTGATTTGACCCGAAAGAGTGTCGTAAGTCGTACACGAACTTGCTTTAATGATTAAAACGATAAAACATGTACCACATTCCCTTCACGCAACAATGAAAAAAAAATTATATGAGATTCTCGATGTTTTTGATGTTAGTCATTAGTGTAATATCAACATTGTTTCATTTACATTTAGTAGCCCGCAGTTTTATATGTATATACAATTGAATGCTCATCTAAAATAACATTTCAATTTCAACAGATTACATACAGACTACATATAAACGAGTTACTTACCCAATACAGCTGGCTGGATAGTCATTAAATTCAGTCCAAAGAAAATCCATACAAACAGACACATGGACATTCTTGGGCATATTTTTGGTTTTTTTTTTTACTTCCTTCTCTGGAATTTCTTCTAGACTGAATGGAAACCAGAGGTTTAATTTGATAATGACTCTAGACAAGATATCTATTATTCATCTGTCATTGAAATACATATGTATCAATATAGACATTTAACGTCACTTACATTTTATGTAATAGCTCATATCTTAATCGAATATTTATTTTCACATTAAGAAAACTGTGAAAATATTAATCATTTGGAAGTGACTGGTTTGTTTGTTTGTTTAAAGTCCCTTCGAGAATTTTCACTCATATTGAGAACTCCACCACTTGATTGTGGAGGGCTGCAAATTGACCTGTTGTCGGCACTAACAGCCTTTGACCAGCGAGGGATCTAATCCGTGCCAGCACTTAATGCAACACGGGACCTCGGTTTATACAGTCTCATCCGAAGGACCGGTCTCCACCTCACGCAGTGGGATTCGAATCCGCGACGTAAGAATCAACTCCTTACTCCTCGACTCTGGAGCAAGCGCTTTTCCACTGTGCCACTCGGGCGACTAATTGGTTTTAAGTTTTGCATTCACAGGCACTTGTTATTGTAATTATTTTTACCCCATAGAATAATATTTACATTTGCCAATGTCTTTTCTTATAAAAGAATACTATTTAAATTGAAATTCAATTTTCAATGACATGCAGTTGGTCACATGATCAGATTTTCTTGCGTTTGGAAAGCAACCTGCACGAATCATTTTGGAAAGTTCTGATTGTGATGTCACATGACGTCGTAGGTACGTTATGTCGC